CTCCCGTAAAGATTTACACCCTCGGAAACCCTGTACAGGGTCGCTATGGGTCGGAACCGACTCGAAGGCACTTAACAACAACAACAACAACATATACTACTTCTGGTGTGGCATTGATGGATAAGTACTGGACTCATAGCTACCATATACAGTGTTTCAGAGGAGCGGCTGGTGACCTTGAACCACCGGCCTTGCCGTCTAGCACATTAACCTGCAGTGCCACGCCAACACATATTGTTGTTGTTATGTGCCGAGGAGTCGGTTCAGACTCATCGCGACCTGCACAGGGTTTCCCAGGCTATAAATCTTAACGGGAGCAGAAAGCCTCATCTTTCTCCCTCGGAACAGCTGGTAGTTTCGAACTGCTGACCCTGAGATTAACAGCCCGATTTGTAACCACTACGCTACCAGAGCGCCTTAACAACACATTAGTAGAGCATATTTGTCTTTTCCCTCCTAGAAAATCAAGTACAGTAATTTTACAACTCATGTAATGGCAACTGGCGGTCACAAAATATCCCTCCTTTGCTTATGCCTTCTTCATTAGTTAGTGTCATTTTTCTGAAGGCTGCACAAAGATACCTAGTCACAGCCATTCCCCACACAAGGTGGTCATATGCTAAATTAGATTTGGTTTCATCATCAGCCCTGGTGGCACAACTGGTTAAGTACTTCGCTGCTAACCAAAAGGTTTGTGTTTCAAACCCACCTAGTGACTTTGCAGGAGAAAGATCTGGCTATCTGTTTCCATAAAGCATTTTTTAAAAAATGCTGTGGAATCGATTTCGCCTCAGCAACTCATCCTAGAAAACCCCATGGGCCAATTCTATGTCCCATGAGGCCATGGTGGACTCCTCACAACAATAGGGAAGCAACTAGGTCTGGGACATTTGGGTTTTCTTCGTATCACAAAATTAGGACAATGAATAATGTTCTTTTTTTTTATGTTTTCTTGTACTTTATTGACTGTGCAAAAACTTTTTTAAGTTTTTGTGAACTGAGTGATAGTTTACATGGGAGAACATCAGTTTTACACTCATCATTTCATTGCAATGATTACGCTCTTGTCCATGAATCATCATTCAACATTATTTGCTTCGATTCCCTCTATGTGTTTTTTTTT